CTTCAATTACAAATGCGCTACCCTAACCATCAAGCCACCACTGCCATACATGAATAGCTACCAGACGTCCCCCCTGTTGCTCAGCCCTGCTTGCTACCTATAAAGAGTGAAAGGCGGCATTGAACACTGAACCGCAGGTGAAAGGTACAGAGGTAGAGCTGAACTGTTCTGTGGGCATGAGCCCCCCAGCTGTCAGGGCCTTCTGCGACGGAACAATGAGGCTGTAACGCGAGAGCCCGAACGCCTATCGCTTTCCTCACTGCTCACCCAAGTGCATTACCTTCATGCAGCCACATGGCACGGCTGCAGGAGATAGGGAGGGACCTATAAATGCCCTATGGGCTTCATTTTTCTTTTGCGACTTGCTGCAGACGGGCGGCGTATCGCGCGCCTATTACGGTCACGCCAAAATCATACCCCTTTGCTTACCGCTACGTACGACTCTACAGCAGTTTCGTGATCCACGACACATCCATCGTGGCACGACTGAAACACGAGGCGACCGACTGGGCCGTGTCCGGACTCACGCTGCAGCTTATGTCTGAGCACCGTGGCCCCATCCCTCGGGGTCACGACCTATGACCTCCCGGTAAAGTCTGGAGTCACGAATGGGCCGGCCGCGACGGCGGCCACAGGGAGACTCCCCAGAGGTCGGGGCATCCGGCGGTGACTTGAAAACCAGTCGGAACTGGAGCAAACCTGATCTGTCTGGGTTTAGTGGGTTTTGTGCTTTGAATGCTAAAGGCTACATGGGGTAAAGGCAGCTATGCTTTCTGAGAAAAGCAGGGAAGGAAGTGACTAGAGGCCGAATTGAAAGGAACAGCAGATTTAAGTATTAAATATGCAGAGGCAGTGCCCAGCCTGTCTGCACGCACCTGCTGAGGGATAATTAAGGGACAACAAGAGCAGCTGTTGGTGCTTTGCGTTTTACATTTACATTACATTTACATAGCAGATGCTCTTGCCCAAAGCAACACAGATAATACATGACAAGCATACAGATGTGTATCGGTATGGATCCATCTAGACGCCACTAATCTTTCTGTTTCTTTCAGCAGTCAATTGAAATTAAGGCCAGAGACCTGACAGACAGGGCTGACCTCAGCCAACCTGACGGCAGAGAGCAGTCAAGGCCAGACTCCTCCTCTGCTTGCCTATAAAGGTTATGTACTATGCAAAGCAGGCAGTGGGCGTTTCCAAGGCGATAAGACAGCAACATCTACATTTTTTTCCCCCCAGACGCTTATATGAAAATTAGTTTTTTTGGGGGTTTTTTTGGAAAGCAGGGTCAAACAGTCCTTGGCGTAATTTACTTGATCTGGTGACCTTCTGATCACAGGCACAGTGTCCTAATCCACTGAGTCACACACCATGACAGTAAAGCATGTGATTTAGAGGCTGCCATTTTGATACAGATACGTGAACAAGACTAGCGTTCATCCCAAGCTGACGAGGGGGGGGGGTATCAAAGACCATCAGGAAAACTGATAGACAGGAGGACCCAGGAAAGGGGTGTGGCCGGGGGGAAGCAGGACCCTACCTCTGGCTGGGCTGGAAGAGCACGTACTCCAGAGCATGTGTGGAGTTGTTGCCCGTGGAGATGAAGCTGAAGAGCAGGAAGACAAGGTCTGTTGTGCCCAGGATATTGGTCAGCTGCCGATGGATGAGCCGTTCCCTGAGGGACATCTGCTGCTGCGTGTTCCTCCGGAACCGATACCAGCCAATGACATTCTGCGGTGAACCCGACCCACATTGGTTAGATGTACCCCCGCACAGCCCTGACCTGCCCCACTCCAGATCACATCAGGCCCCCTGTGCTGTCCTCAAGGCCCAGGAAGCACCCAGCGCCAGGTATGAACTGTGCTATGTGCAGCAGCTGGGGAAAACGAGTACCGAGTAGCAAGCGGGAATCCAAGTACTCACTTTCCTTCTCTCTTTAAGAATCCCATTGAGTTTATCTTCATTGATGTTGCCTGAGTAATCATAAAAGCTGAAACAACAGAAAAATGGCTGAAAGTAAATATTTACCACTAGAAACTACTCAAAAACACATCAAAAACATCTTCCCATCACAAACTGTGCCACAATACGTATTTCAACCTGATTGCATTGTTAAAAGAACATCAAACCACTATCTTCCACAAACGTGTTCTTACCTAAAAAGTTGTGCACATGGTTCATGATTTTGAACTTCTATTAAAAAAACAGAAAAAAATTACAAAGTTATGACGTGTTTTACTAGTGATTCGGAACTTCCTCTGTTTTCAGTACAAGTGCTGTGTGTTTAGCAGTGGCTGGCAGTATTAGGTCTATCATCATTTTCTGAGGCCATTCATCCCGCCAACTGGTAAACATCTATCGCCTTCTGTTACCACAGTGAACTGAAACTACATTTCGATCAGAAGGTGAAGAAATCATGCATTTTTATTCATAGTTAATAAAGCACTGTTATAGCCTTCCACAGCCATTCATACAGGGCTCAGTAGGTACAACTTGAGGGTTTTAATCAATATGACACACCACAGTGGTTACAAAAACCTCTCTTAAATAATATACTTCTGTGAAGCCATCAGATCTAACACATGCATGCAATCCACATGTCACTCAGAAACACCACAACCCCGGGCTCACTATGATAGGTACTGTCGAGCCATTTCACCAGGAGACAGACAGACAGACACACACACACACACACACAAAATTTCCCCTTCAACCTGCACCTCAACCCAGTGCGGCAGTTTCTGCATCATGCAGAACATTTAGCTGAGCTCACAGAAAACAGTCCAACCCAACCACAATAAAAACCCCCTCATAACAGCTGACTGGCAACTCCCTAAATCTGCAAATGCGGCACGACTGCAGGAACAGCCACATGCAACACAACAAGCAGAACAAAACTGCTTATTTAATAAATAATGTACGCAGCACTGACAGAAGATGAGACTGTGTTCTTATAAAAACCTGAGCGCTAGCTAATAGATAAATGTGAGACATGACAATTCAGAGTTAATGAAGGGTCTGATCACAACATCACATTGGAGAAATTCCTCAACCCAAATGCCAGAAATGGGCTGACAGAACTGAGCACACAAACAAGCCACAGGAAGCTTTTCATACCAGCAGCCGATTATCTTACCTACGACCCGGATAACTTCTGTGCTGCTGATCTGAGAGTCACTGATGCTGAATGTTTCCTCTTCTTTTACCTCCCCGAGCAGGAAGCCTTCCTATAAAAACCGGCACCGGCTGCTTACTGACACGTTCCATAATAGAACGTTAAAGAGAAAAATTATGCAGAACGGATCGATTAAAAGTCATTAAAATATTAAACCGTCACTACAATGGCAACATTTCTCTCACTGCGTTGAACCCGTACTAGTTAATTTTGAGTAAAATCCCACAGATTCTTAAAGGTGTTCACTATTATTTCTATCAAAACATCGCAATTATTCTTGTCATGCCGACAAGACAGATGCTGCGTTTAACTGGACAAGCAGGACTGGCGGCTAGTTAACCTAACCAGGCCTAGTTATGAAAACAGGTTTTACCATCCACGCCCTAAAGTTAAACTAATGGCATTTCACTCATGAATTGGCAGATTCATTTTACACGGAGTGCTCATCAGAATTTAAATGTTTTCGGGTGCAATACACATCTGTTAATATAGAAACGTTTAACTAGTAAGGTGTCTCTGCGGTAACTTCTACAAGACAGCCTAAATTATCTTATTACACTGTAAATAAATAAATTCTGGATCAAACCCGTGATGATAAACTCCGGAGAAAAGCGACGGACACTTTAAACTAGTTAGCTAGGCTAACACCTGTTTCTGATTCACTGACAGGCTAAACTCTTCCGCCAGCTAAAGGAAACAATTCGGAAACGGTCTCCTTTAATTTCGATCGATTGCTGTAGACACTTACATGGTCGGAGTTACTGTTGGCACTGTGGTAACACACAGAACTAAAAGTGTAACTGGAAATGCACGCAGCCATGATGAAAACATCCCAACGCGTCCGAGAGCCTGCCGCGGCCGCGCGACCTGAGCGGCGAGAGCGCGCGCGGCGCGGTGCGTTGTGGGAAAGGGAGTCTTTACGGCGAAATTGTCCAGGCGTAGTGACGTTTTGTATATTAACGTTGAGTAGAATTATTTATAATGAGTATTATGTTATAGCAAGGGCTTTTCGGTAAACTATAAATAGTACCAAAATTCAACAAGACCCAATGACATGACACTATAAGGTTGTGTAGTTCCGTTGGCTGCTAGCCTGCACCTATATACGGGGCTGCCAACTCCCAGGCATCTGGCGTGACATTCACACTTTCAGGCCATCACACTCACCCCAGGAATCTTACAGCAAATCTATATTATTCCATTATGGAAATTAAGCTACATCGAAAGCAATGGGGCAGTTTGCAAACCCTACAGACTATTTAAAAGGTAATAAAACTTTTAAATATATGTAAATGCGTGTGCAGACTTGTCTCGAATTCAAAATCTCGTGCCAGCCAGCCGGCCAAAGCTGGCAGCCCAGTATCTGTGTGACAGAGCGATTTCAGGCAGCACTTATAACTACAAGGCGGCCTGTAAGTCCTGAAAGAAAGTAGATAAAGGAGACCCACGTGCCTGTTTCTGAGTTTCGTACTCACTTGCAGCGGCGATGTCGAGCAGTACCATTACTTACCGGATAGGTGCGATAGCATTTACGGCTAGCTTGACCCCTTTCAACATATAACAGCATTATATAACAAGTTTTTTTTTTCAAATTGCATTTAATGTAGTTCAACTAATAACCAATTGGTGGCAGTAGCGCTCCTCTAATGGATACCAGCTTTCATGCTGCTTATGCAGTACAGGGTTATAAGGAGCCTGGTGCCTCTCCCTGGCAACATAAGCCCCAAGTTAGAGGGCCCCTTGGACAGGATGTCAGTCCATCACAGGGACGCAATTCACATTACGTTTACTTATTTAAGTCCAAAGTGGCATGCAAGTGGAAACGAACTTGGGGCTGCAGGGCACAAATCAGTCAGCATCAATGGGGCAGCTGAATTGTCAGAAATAAACAGGCAATTTTCTCACACAGAGGGCAGGAGTCAAACCCTCAACCCTGGAAGTGGGAGGAAACAGCACTACACATGAACCATTATGCCAATATGCTGGCATTTAAACGTAGAGATAATAATATCCATTTTTATGGTAAAAATGGCAAAATACTTAATAATAAATAAATCACACACACACCTGTACTCATATCATTGTGGGGACTCTCCATTCATTTTTATGGTCAAAACCCTAATCCCAACTATGACGACCTTAACCCCTACCCAGCCCTAACCTTAACCATATGCAGCCAAACAAAATACAAGACTTTTGCCATGTTTAGTTTCTTGATTGCAGTCACAGATTTTTATATAATTGAGCTTCCCCTTGTGGGGACCGAAGGAGTGGTCCCCACAACATCGAAATAACACAAATGTCCCCGCAATGTAATGAATATCTGCCATCCTTGTACTTACAATAAAACTTGTTTAACTATCCATTTTTAAATCAGCTAACAATGTCTGCATTCCTGTATTATGGACCTCTGCGCAGGCCTGACCAACATAATTCATGCAATAAAATGTGAACCACAGTTTGCGATTTTAATTTGACTGCAGACCTTCTCTGTAGCAGTCTCCCATTCCAAAGCTAATATGGATATATAGTTGTGGGAAAGTCTGGGAGGCTCTGTGAACTGAACCATGTGTCACAGGGAATTTCCAGCAGGCCCGGACTTTTATTTTCTTTTTTCGCCTTATTTGCAGCACACTGACACACACACACACACACACATGCGGTTCTGCTGCAGGTTACTGTCAGAACAAAAGCAGAACTCAGCAGAGTGGACGACGACGCTCCCTCCTAGTTCATCCCCGTTCCCACAACCAAAAGTGTGACATGACTGGTTGCCTAGGTGACACTCACAAGCTTGTGTAAATTCCTGTGACACATTACACTCGTGCTTTTATTCCAAACAACTTATAGTAAAGGGAAGGGTTACAATATATGTGTGCTTTTTGGGATTTGATCCCACAACTGTACTGATGTTAGCACAATGCTCTGCTTGTTGAGCTAAATGAATGTCCTTGTTAATGTGATATCCCATAATGCACTCAGCTCCTACCACAGATAAAAACAAGATTTAAAAAAAAACAAACATAGTTAAAAACATAGTAGTATAATCTCATAATGTCAGTATTTCTGAAGTCATGATGAATCCAAAAATATCTTTACGTTTGAGATAAAGACACTACAATTGTATCAAGCATAATTATTATTCTGTATTATTGTAGTAAAATATGTAATAAAATGTCCAATCCAAGCACAATTACATCCAATTAAAGTTTTACTGTATGTCATATCATAAATAAAAAGTCATTGGAATTAACTTATCATGGAGAAAAAACATATTGCATTGGCATTGTTGTTTTAGTTTTTATTTTAACTTGTTATTTTACTTCAACTTTCATGAATAATGTATCTGCAACCTATGTTATTTCCCTTCCACACTTCTGGGTGAGTCTGATCTGCGGGGTTTCGGGCTCCACAAACAGCTTGGCCTCAGACTGTAACTTTAGTTCTTCAAGTCACACACGCACTAAGCGACCGGCTATAGGGTCAAAGTATAAAATACAAGCGAATTCGGAAGCAGACCCCCCTGATTTTTTCCGCCATCCCGTCGGACCTCCGTGGGCCGTCGCAGGCACATGACAGAAGGGTCCATTGAGGGCTCCCTCACGGCAACCCGGGGCACAAACCGCCTTTCAGCACTCTGCTCCACCAGCCAGTTCAGAGTGAGGAGGAAATTCTGCCCTGTTTATTCTATGGGGGTGAGAGAGTCACGGGGAGACGCGAGCAGGAATGGAGTTTACCCTTGTGAAAAACGAAGGGATGCAAACTTGGGACTGCTTTCATTCACTAGCCACCCCCTCTGCCCAACGTTTCATTACTTGCATAGTTTTTTCAGCCACAAGCTGCTTGAACGTTACGCACGGCAAGACCGGCACCCACGTGTGCCAGGCGTGCCGGGGCAGCGGGAAAGGCAGCCAGCCCAGGGCGTGTCTGCATGTGCCGCGGTCAGGATCTGGCACAGGCCCGCCGGCCCTCTGCGAGCGGGAGGCAGCCGTCCTGGAGAGCGCAGACACACGCCTGTGCAGACAGATGTGATCATTAAGCACATCTACCGTACCTTCGTGGAGCTAGAGAGGAAGGATGTGCAGCCCCCCGCCCCAGGGCTAGACAGGGATTAAAAATCGGCCCTGGGCTTTGGGGTTGCGCCCGATAAATTTTGCTGGGCAGCAGGTGGGAAGAGGATTCGTGTACCGTAAATTTTGCCGGCCCACAAACCCATCGACCCGCCCCGGGGAAAATGCCCGGTATGCCAGATGGCTGATCCAACCATACCTGGGCCCACAGGGGCAAATCGAACACCCATTGCTCCTGGGGAATCCGACTAACGGAAACAACCTCTGAAGAAATATCATCTCGAGGGGCGTGTCGGCCCCCCCCCCCCCCCAGCCATCATACACAAGGCTGATCTGAAGGCCACGACCGCATGGATTCTTGGCCCAGGTGCAGCCGGTGGTCCATGCAGGACAAAAACAAAGTGTTCCACTGGGTGAGGGAAGCCCGTTTGTCTCCATCTCCGGCTTCTAGATACAGGTACCGGATACAGCTGGCGCATGGGGACCCGGGACCCTGCCGTCCCATGAACTTACAGGCAGTCTGTGCGTGCCACGCATCAGCCAAGTGACAGCCGCAGCTCAGGTTACTGTTTTCTAAACACTCAGGTCACCTCTCACCCGTGACTTTGGAAATGCTGGTCGCCACTTCACAATGGCTTCCTCCCCTGTGAGTGAATCCGAGAGCTCAGATCTGATGGCGAGTCTAATACAGCAGAGGCTGGCAGAGACAGCCATGTGCAAACCAGTCACGTTACCTGTCTATTTTTTTTTTAAGAGGTGGAGGCAGAAAACAATGTATCATGGTGCGTTTTGTTTCAGTGGTAATTTTTGATGACAGACTCTATGCCGTGATAATGCATAAGACAAAAAATAATCAATCTGAAACTGTCAACCTGACTGGTAGTGGCACGGAAGCTCCCCTCTCTCACCGCAAATCGTGCACAGCGCTGTCCTCCCGTATAGAGAAATTGCAAAGTGTCAGAGTGTAAATATTTGCACTACCAAACTACTTGATTGATAGGACAAGTACATAGTTTTCACTGCTCTGGCAGCCCGAAGGATTGCAGCTAACATAAGCTATTAAGATTTAAAGAAGTGCGATCGATATCGTCAATCGAGTGCGATGCGATGTCACATGCTCATATAAAGCCTGTCAGGTTGGGATCCCAAATGAAAATGATTAATGTACATGTCAAGCAGGACATTTACTGGCGATGTTAATTTAAAGGTTAGATCGCTCAACTGGAGGAGGCTGTTAAGAATGGCCGTGTGCTTGTCCTGCAGAGACTGTGTTTTGGTTTAATTTTAGCACCGAGGAGGATGTCAGCCATTGTATTTTTGAAATCCAGGAACACATGTATTTTTGAGAGGATCAAGGTGAACTCGGTTTATTTTCCGTCACCAAACGTGCTATTCTTTCCTCTGTCATATCGGATATGAAATTTGTTCATTTTGGAAGCTCATCCTGCACATTCACTGTCAAAACCAGAGCTACCTTTCAGTCTGGAGAATAGCACAGCCAACCTGGGGAAAACTAAATGTTTTAAGCCCCGTGGGTGAGACGCCGCGCCGATGTTCAGGCATGCTTCGCGAAGCTTCGCTTGCCTCTCGCTATGGGGAATGGCCTCACAGCAAACTGACGGTAATGAGGGGATTTCTCACGCCTTGTTTCCTTGTGTTAACAATGTATGGCGTAAGTACACCTTGAAAATTCAGCCTAACCAAAATATCTGAAAATGTGCACCCAAGCTGTAAAACCAACTGTTCTTCCCACAGCTAAGCTTTGTGCTGTTTTGGGCCATTCGTGGAAAGTTCCGGTTCAGAAAGAACAAATCCAGACCAAGATTTTATTTCAACCAACCAGCTGAGTAGTCTGTGACTGACTCTTTATGCTCAACTGGTTGGTTGCAGCAAAATCTTGGTCTGGATTTGTACTTTCTGAACCTGAACTTTCCACCTCTGTTAAAGCAGTTGTGTGTGTGTCTGATTGGTCTTGGACAGAGCATTGTGGCCAGATGCAAACTAGAGAACATACTCATTGCACAACAATGTAATGTCTGCGCAGTCATTTGTCATGATCAAATTAACAGCCTTTTCACATGTGTTGTTCAGTTTAGAAACAACAGCCACGAGTTCTTCTTTAGAAGTATCTGCTTCCTGGCCACTTAAATCATATACCTATTTGTTCACCTCTAAAAGGACTCTGATTTGTGATCAAAGTAATGCAGAAGGTTCTTCTTGGAGCCTGTTTCAGTAAGCAGGATTTCTTGCTTAGCCGGATAACTCGTTAGATTTAAGCTAGTCTGGGCTCAATGTAAGTGGACGAAGATAAAGTCCATTTAAATTGGGGTAGCATAAATCCAACAAGGTATCCAGCGAAGAAGCAAGAAATCCTGCCTTCTGTAACAGGCCTCTGTTTTTACCCCAAATCTGGCTTCTGTTTCCGGTTGGTATCAGGCCACATTTTTCCCTGCAGAGAGAACCATCTCACATTGCATGATGTAAAGCACGTATAGTGTGATTGAAAAGAACCTCAAAGATGGAAACTCTATCCCCACGGCGCATTGCTGTGGACGGCATGGGCCTTGACACCTGAAACCCCAGAGCCGTAACATCACCAGGTGGAGAAAAGCTACCTCACCCATAAGCGTGACCGTGTTACTCCACATTGGCACGGACGCTGGCAAGAACACACCACACGAGCCCCAGTGCACCCTGAGTGTGTCGCCTGCTTTGACACGCCTCCTCGTGGCCTCAGCAGCAGGACTGCATTGGCAGGTGTTGTCTGTGACTCGCGTGTAAAGCTTAGACGTTCCTTTGCCCCAGGGCCAGCCCGTGACTCGAACAGTATGCTATTCATCTCTGGCAGTCACTGTGTCGACCCGTTAAAGATTTACAGTACCTCAGAGGATTCAGCAGATTATGAATTCCTCTATGGCGTTCTGGTCAATGTGCAGTCCCGCTGCTTCAGCCAGGTTTTGTTCTTTTTTGGTTTCAAACCTGCTTCAAAGCTTCACCAACAATCACAGTGCTGATTAATAATTACATTATTTGTCATTGCTTGCAATGGAAACAGGCAAACACCTTTCACATTAGCTGCCCATACTGCCATGCCTGGCCATTCATCATCAGTTTATTTTGGCTGCATTAATATAGACAATTAGTTTTTCTAGGCGAGTACAGAGCATGTTATTCTTGGACAATCTCGTCCTGCAACATTTCTGTCAGAGAGCTCTAGAGAATGTCGATCAGAGCGATTTCTCAGCAGAAATGGCCTCCTTGGTAGTATCAATATTAGCTTAAATATCACTCCCATCACCATGGACTGGGGGATCATTGCAGAGCTCAGATGAGCTCAGCATAAGCCATATACAGGAGTGTAACATGGGACCTTCCTTGTTATGAACAAAAACTAAGCAGTTTTAACAGAGGTCTTTGGTTCAGAAAGCTATGTTGTGATATTTTAACAAAAGTTGGATGAACACATTAAACGTGAGATGCATGTAATTAACATAATTGCAAATGTATTCGTGTTTCAACTTGACTGAAAGGGTGCATTTTTCATTTGTTTTCTAATAGTTTCTTAAAGCAGGCCCGCTTTCAATGACGTCGACATTGCGGGTCCGAATGCATAGGTTATTAAAAGGAAGTGAAGGTGTTGTTGCACGGGGAACAGTTCAGCTACAATGGTAAAGTGTATTTCAGTACACAAAGAACCATGTACTTTATGATGTAACAGTCCAACACATCTGTTTCAATCTCTGATATGGACTTTACAAAGTGTGATGCAATCCTTCAACGAGTAATAAATGACACTACTACCCAATTATGACAAAGGTAACGCTATGGGAACTTAACATTGGTCATAATCGAAATGTTTAAAAAGCTTCTGTGTTGCTATTTTACTCAGCTGTAGTTTGGGTTTGTTTCTGCGGACACATAATACGTCAAATGTTTATCAAGCTATTGCACTGTTGAAGTCTGACTTGCTCAAGATTGGTTTCACTACATAACACAATCACACGTGAATTAGCGTAGATGTGTTGAATTCACACCTTTTGCCAAGAAGGCCTGAGAAACGGCCACCGCACATATAACACCTCTTACACCTTTCCTGAAAAAATGTGGTCCACAATAGCAATGGCAAATTTTGCTGTAAATCCGGTTTCTCAAAAAAAAAGCAAAATTCAATCATTTAATAACTAAAAACGAAATGTTTACGAGTGACTGTTTAAGCACTCCACGTGAATGAAACATGCACAGAAAAGTTATTACCGTCTGCGACTTAGTTTACAGAGCTGAGCTGCACCTACTCCCCGCGTACACACGTAACGACACTGGACCTAATGAGGCTCTAAAACAAATAAGCGCCTGCATGATCACCACGAGGATCAGACCCTTGCTCCTTTTATCGCTCCCCTCATTTGCGCTCCTTTTGCGGACGCACTCCACTGCGATGTTGTCCTTTCCCCTTGTTTGTTTGTCAGCCTTTACGGTGACTGCTGGAAGGTGCTTGTTGAGGAAGTTGCTAAGGAACACCACGATAAATACGGCACAATGGGCAGAAGCTGTAATCCTATCAGATATGCCGTGACGCATGAGTCCAGTCAAGTCAGTTTTTCCAGATAACACGCTGGGCGGAGTGTTTGCTGTTGCTGTAAGGCACCGTTCCCCATGAGCCGTACATGGCTGTCTCACCGATGCCCTGTCTCCCATTGCACAGTTCATCCAACTAGACATCAGATATTTTCGTTTGCATCCCGAACTGTCACTGGAGAGCAGTCCCCGGTGATGGTGCTGTCGTTCTGGCATCGCCCTACGGAAAGTCCGCTAAATCCACTGCTCATTCTCAAGCAGCTGTTTTGCACAGAGCTTTGTTAGAAACACTTGAAAGTGATACTTATAATAGTCCAAGGCTGCTTTGGCCTTAGCGTGTCAACAGCTTAAAACGTGCACCTGCATGCTGTCTTATGACATCCGTGCATTAGACGCACATGCGACTGTTATTAAACCTGGCAGAGTAAAGAAAAAAAAATACGTGCAGGAATTAAATTAAACACCCATGTGGAGAAAATATTGCGCCATCAAAGAACTAGGCCGAGATTGCACCGGCATTTTATAACTAGGAGCACAAGTATGCTTGAAATAAACCAGTCCATGTGTTCGGTTACTGCAATTACTGTGTCGTTAAAAAACAGCATCGTGTGAATTTATGGCTAAGAAAATTCAGAGCCGAAGTCTTAGTTCCGGTGCTTTTAAGTCACACCATCCCACTCAGAAAAGTCATTGAAAGTTCAGTCTGAATTGAAAGTTGGAGCTGAATTACACCCGCGTGTGTACAAACCATCTTTTCAGCCTCGAGTGCTGCAGAGCAAATATTTATATATTTTTAATTCGGTAGCTAAGGAAACATCTCGGCGCGACTTTCGAGAGCTGATTAAATTACTCCCCTCTTTTCCAGGCTGGTTAGCTATGTGGAAGTGGGAGAGATTCCTCTCTGTCCGTCTTAAGGCGCTCATGAACTCTTAAAGAAGTAAACCCCACATTTTAAGTAGCCTGACTTTTAATATTTCGTATTTTGTACGAAATCAAATGTTGCACAGGAATAATCTGCAGTCTATATTCAATGCACAGTTTAGCCTATAGATACTTCAAATGCCTGTTTAATCAGGGCACGTCGAATATTTCCTCTCTAGGGATTTATAAAGTGAATGGCTACAATATGACTGGAAACGTTTCAATACTTGTTAGGGCTTTATTTTAAAGTTAAGTGTTTATTGAACAGTGTGAACACAGACGTAAATCGACGGTCACCCCTGCTGCGGCTCCACGTGTATCTGTTCAACTCTGTAATGTACCATACGCGGTATATAATGGTAAATGTAACAAGTCGGAATCACACCTCTCATCGAGACATCGTCAGGAGACACTGTCATATCAAATTTAACTATATCGTTATTTGTTGCAGTCCAAAAACGAAGACGATAAGTCACACTAGTTTACTAAGTTATAATATATTCTCACCTCAACAGTGACGTTTCTTGTTTTACTTTTAAAGGGAAAGACCATTTCGAGTTCATAGGGGCACTGTATAAGCTATATGAGTTGTTAAATGCAGTAACGCGATTTTTTTTTATTACATCTCCACAGAAGTGGATTACAGTATGTATGAGTTATTTCTGTAAAACAAAACTGGCAAAGGAAACGTAACTTTCTGTGTAGTTCCTTAAAGATGTGTTCCGGTTTCCCCTTTACCATGCAATGCTCCGGCCGTGCGTGTTACACTGTAAAGTGAAGGAACGGTCTGTTTTCACGGCGAGTCGGGCGGTCGGCTGGTCCAGTGTGCTATTCGGTGGTGCTAGATAATTAGAAGTCTCTTATTTTGAGAGGCTGAAGCTGAAGATGACCTGACAGTCGACTTGGAAGGCAGTCACTGAGATACCTGAGCATATTTGCACCCACTGGGAGACGTGACAATGCGCTGCCTGGTTTTTGTGAGTATTTAATGCATGTCAGATAGATAGAGACGCATGGTGGATGAATAGATTAAGCTCCTACCCCCCCCCCCCCCCCCCCCCCCCCCCCCCCTCCCCATCCCCATCCCCATCCCCATCCCCACCCCCACCAGCCTGTTTATCAGAAGTTCTGCTTTGCACATTTCTGTCGAAAAAGTTTCTGTGAAGGCTTGTTGAAGTTTAGCTGCTTTTATATTGATCCCGGTGCGAGCCGATCTACATTTAGAACAGGAAATGTTTTTCATTGATGCGAAGTCACTTGTGAGATATGAATGGCACCCAGCAATCCATGAAATATATTTAATTTGTTCCTAATGTTGTGTTAATGTGAATGTTAATATATTTAATCTGTATAGTTTATTCACTGCTTGGTTCTGTATTCCCCGATTACCAAACATTTGAATTGAGTTCTAGATGAGCTAAGAGATTTTTTTATTTGTAGTTATGTAGCAAGTATATATCAAGACTCAAGGGGGAAAAAAAACTTTTCAAAGTTTGCCAAAGAGAGCTGTTTTTTTAACCAGCAATGTGTCATTTGGCGTGTTCTCGCCTTGGCTTTCAGCGATCGGCCGCCCTTCTGGCGTTATTTCCACGCGTCCGTTTAATCCCGATCGCAGCTGCCGTGCGGATTCGGCACGCTTCGGGCAGAAGTGCAGGAGAGTTTGTTGACCAATGCTTTGTTGCTGGGGCTGTGCACGCTGCCCGGACAAAAGCTTTCCTGTGTTTGGAGGCTCGGGCTGTAGAAGGCCTGGGCTGGCTTTGCAAATAAGGCAGCTGAAAGTAAAGGGGGGGGGTGGACTTCATTCAGCTGCTTCTGCGACTCCCAGCGCACTGTCTCTGCTCTCTCGTCATGCATTGTACCAGCATGCATGTATGCATTGTTTTTTCTTACCTTTACAACCGTGATTCTCAATGTCAGATATACAGCAGTGACCTAAATAGATGGCGGAGTGCCCTTATATCTGTTTCATGATGTTTTTTAGTTTTAGCTGCACAAACAGCTCCCACTATACACGAGTCCGGCTGACATTTCGGTGTGACTTACAGGTGGCTCAGATGTTATGTAACTGAGACCACATACCAAGGTTTCCCTTTGATTTCTTTCATCGCTTCACAATGCATCGGTGCATTTGGTCCAGTCGGTGATTAAGCGCAAGTGCGTCGGGCGAATCTCCCTGCTGTGGGTTTTTACTGTGCTTTTTTGTGATATACATCTGCGCACTGACTTTGAATATAAGCTTATGTTGAACAGACCAGGAAATCACGTTGGAATAATTTGTAACTGTTTTTTCAGACTGTTGGTAAACATTTCCTTACCAGAAGCTTTTGAGTGAGCTGCCGGTCGTTTTTTTTTTTTTTTTTTAAAAAAAGTGGTATTCTTGAAAGCAGTTTTAACATTTTATGACCCTATCCCGTTTTTATTTTCCCCTTTAAATCTCTGAAGTAGCCTAGATTACAGAAGCAAGTTCTTAACAGATGCCAAAATCATTTCCTTTTTATCTGCGTTTGGGAAGTGCATTGAGGAGAACGTTATGCCCAAGTAACCAGCGCAAAGTGTCTTCAGAAATATCGGGGTGCATGAGGGAACTGAACAACTTATGTGCAACAGAATGAAGCGACTGGAAGTGGGAGAAGGTCCTTCACTTTTAAAGTTACTGAGTAGCTATTGTAAGAAGGGCAACACTCTGCATGTTTTCGTCTTCCTATGCTCTGCTGTCAGTTTTGTTACCTCACCTTCAGCTTTTCATCTTCATAAGACCTAGTGCCCCATGAGGGGATTTCCCAGGCCCTGCTCGGGCGAAGGAGGTGGGTAGGTGGTTCCCATGACAACCAGGGCTGGCGGGCTGCTCATGTGAGTGCCTGTGGCACTGGGGCACCTTTTCCAGGGGTAGAGGTGGACTGAGTCAGACAGAAATGGCCAGAGAGCCAGTACAGGGGACCTTGTGTAGTGTTCAGGATTTGTGGTTCTGGTTCTGAACAAACACATACGATAATATTTATAAGAATAAAAATTGTCGTTTTTATCGTAGAATATTTATTTCTGTTACCAATATTGAGCTTTTTCCCCAGGATATTTTATTTGTGTACTTTGTACTCTTTCAGTTTGTGTGCACTACATTTACTTGATTGCACTTTTTTCACCATATATGTCTGTCTGCACTGCATTTTTCCTGCTTTATGCACCAAAACCTCCCCCTCGGGTCAATAAAGTGCATCTTACTACTACTACTACTACTACTACTAAAATAACAATAATAAATAATAATGTCATTGTTGTTGTTACATTCACAACAACAGTAACAATATTTAATGTTTAAAAACAGCATTATGTTTGGATGCAGTAGGTAAATCAGTGTCGCTCTATAATCTGTCTGCTTCAACTGCTCAGACTGCTCCTAAACGCTATGATGGTTCTGTTTGTTCCACGGTTCCTCCTCTTCCTCTCTGCTTCCTGCGTTTCCCAGACCCCGAGTGCACTATAACCCCCCCCTCCCCCGAAAGAAAAAAAAAAAGCTTAAATCCTGCCAGTCCTGATCTCAGCTGTCTCTGAGGATTTTGCTGTAGGGGGGTTCCAGGGTCATTCTTCTCTGCTCTCCTTTCCGTCCAAGCCATTGCCTGTACACATGTAACCTTTACTGATTGGTCAGTTAAGGCCTTGTGGTCGTGCTGCTGTGTTAATAGACCAAGTTGATGGAGACCTGTGTGGTTGTGAACCCTCCCCTACCACCCTGATGTGGTCTTTAAGTAATTTGGTTTGGTTTGGCCTGAAGCTGCACTGGGGCCTCCAGCCAGCAGGGGGAAGCATACATTTTAAATTTATTTACTACATTCTCCAGATCATAGCTATCCTTCTTGTTTCTCCCAGGACATGTTCCAGGTGAGGCCAGAAGCAGACTGGTTGTCGGGTGTGGATTTTTTTTTCTTCCTTATTATTTTGTCCTCCCCCTCCTCTGGGAAGATTTATTACTGCCCAAGAGTGACACCCATCACTTGACCAGAGGGTGTGCAAGCAATTACCAGCAGTCACTTAGATGGAACTGCGCTGTTTGGGTGTGTTTTGTCACACTAAAGTCTATCCATCTAAGCAAAATACAGGTTGGAAGAGGCCCAAAGAAAACGCATTCCAAAAAGGCATGAAATAGCATTTCCTTGTGTAATATGGAGCCAAAAAAGGCCTATTATATAAAATCTATTTAGGACGCCGCTATTGACAGGACTTGCGAGTGGAAGCCACATTGCGTGGGAATAGTGCAGCCGTCGACCGCAGTTTTGTTTTTTATTTTCAGTAACAACTTGTATGGTGACAACGAGACATGATTGCATTTCTGTATCTACACTGCCCCGCCCCCTCGCCCCAAATGCACATAGCACTTTTCTTTTTCACCTCCCTGTCCTGTGGATTTAGTTCATGTTTGTTGCATTATTAGTCAAACGTTGGTGTTTTGGGGAGGAAACGAAACGCAAAAATGTGCTGACAAAAGCCTGGAGGCTGACTGTTGTTTACTGTTTTCGGAAAAGCACCTATCCCGCCCGTGGCTGCGACGCCCGCCTTTGTCGGAGCGCAGAGACGAACCCGCCCTGGACACTACACCTGGCCCAAGTCCCGACTACCAGGCGACCGGCAGCCTCGGGCAAACTGGCCGGAACGGCATTGCTTACCGTTTACGGTTTACTAATGTTTGTTTGTAGAATAGTATCAAACATTCAGATGCTCCTCGTCTTACGATGGGATTCCGATGAACCGATCGTAAGTGGGAAATATCGTAAGTCAAATATGAATACGGTATGATAAATAAGTATGTACTGTCACTAACTAACTAACTAGCTGCTAACTACCAAATACCGATAACTGAAAAGTAAATGAATGAATATAAGCATATTTGGTTAAACACAGAAAACCACTGTGTTAGATGTTTAGGCTCATAAGCGCTACAGAGACTGGAAGCGCGGCTGCCTGGATACTCCATCGCCGGCATCAGCAGAAAGTATCGTGCGGCTTATCGCTTATCGCTTAGCCCGGGAACAGATCAAAAATCAGAGCTGACTGCTGAATGAGCATCGCTGTCGCACCATCGTAAAGTCGAAACATCGCAAGTCAAAGCATCGTAAAGCGAGCAGCACCTGTAGCTACTTCCTTTTTTGCCTTTCTCTCACTTGCACCTTTCCAAGTCTGAAACTGCTGTCTGCCCATAAACCCCCCGTCATCTCTCCTTGCCCCCCTTTACCCCCCCCCCCACCGACTTGCGGCTCACAGTCACCGCCCTCTGTCTGCCTGCTGCTTTCACAGCTATCGCTTTTCCAAAATTCGCCCCCTTCCCTTGTCTCCGCTTAGGGTATATCGAGCTTTAAGGCGCTGGATCCTCGTACCTCAGTACTTATGAGCCACCTTATTTTACCCACCTGATCGACGAGCTGGACGAGTAAAATAGACTGATTTACATTTTATTTAGTGGACGCCTTTTCTTTTCGTTATTATGATATTAAATCATTTAGAAGTTGCAGTTTCTTAAGCTCCCCCTTTAAATGCCTGCAGTTCTTACAGATGAAGTTTGTCACTCAGCCCGTGGCGCAGAACATCAGCTGAGTTCAGCACCACGGCGGAGCTGAACTGGGGGCAGAATCACAGGTTTTCTTCTCAGATTAGGCCCTGCCGCGACTGGACTTCATCCGCTCGCAGATAGAGAGGGCGTTGGCACGTGGGAAGGCACTTCTGCAAATAAAAAGCAAACATAGTTAAATTGCGTTCGAAGGAGGGCATCGGCTGGCAAGCGTGCCTCTTTTTGGGGAGTGTTCTGTGGGGCTGAAGAAATCATTTAGTCTGGGCCAGCTTGGTTATTTTGGGATCTCACCTTTCACTCTCATCCTCCTCCTCCCCCCCCCACCCATGCACTCCCCCACCCTCCGGATCGGTCGCACTTTCACGAGCCTTTGCGGACCCTCCAGGCTTGGAGATCAGCGCCCCACCTTCTGACCCTGTCCTGGGATCGGCTCCCAATATCGTGGCATGGGGACTAAAGTGCTTCATTACTTCAGCTTAACAACCTAGTTTTTTTTTGTTTTTATTGCCCTTCTTCATTTCGAAAGTAAGAAGCTATTTTTGCCACGCTGCAGAGGTGTCAGAACCTGTATTGTAACACGGCTACGCAACACGCACCGCCTCGCGCTTTGAAAGTCGGAGGGGTGTGAGTTCTGGCTTTCCGCCGGTCGGGCCTGCGTGCAATGCTCGTGATAAAGCCTCGGGGGCGTCTTCGCTGCTATCGAATTTCCACCAAAAGTGACGCGTCTCGCCGGCTGTTTCTGGCCTGTCACTCCTGCTCAGGTATGCGTTTACGTTAAACCCGGCACAGTTTTACGTTAGTGATTCACAACTGTAAAGCATTTCCAGAGAAAGTGTCCCTGTGCTGTTGTGACGAGCCACTATCTCTGAGTCATCAGTTCTTTTTCTAACAATCCATCCATTACTGAACAAACTGGATGTCGAGTTTGTTGGCCGTAACCAATTACACCACCAGCTAAGGCCTTCTGCTCTGCTTTTGTTTTGTTTTGGTACAAAACGCCCTGCAGAAACACCTAAAAGCAGGACTCACAAGCACCTCTTCTTGCATGGCTGCCTCCTATGGGCGTATTCATCGGGGAGTTAATAAGGATTTATGGCTTAATTACCCTTCATGTTAAACATCTGAAACATTCTGCTTGAGTTTTTTTTTAAATTTTCTAATAAGTAGGCCTGCCTGGCACGCTCAGTTGTTGGCAGTCATAAAAATGGAACGCGCTCTGCCAGTCTGTGCATATATATATATATATATATATATATATATATAGCAGATTTCAAGAAGCTTTGTATTCATTACCTTCACATTTAAATTCTGTGTAGCCCCAGTATATGCTGAGTTAAAGGGGGAATTGAGAGCAGGGTGGTCTGCTGCTGTAAGACGGGTCCTTATGGCTAACCTGGCTGGCTATCCTGGCTGGCTAACCTGGCTGGCTAACCTGGCTGGCTAACCTGGCTGGCTAACCTGAGTCTTCCCCTACCGGCTGTCTAGTTGCTGATTCTGTGACTCTGATTGGTCACTCCATCAATCCTATTTGTCACCCCCGTTACTGATTTGGTAGCAGACCTGTCCTCTGTCTCCAAACTCAGCCAATCAGTGGGCTCCACTCTGCACACAAATCCCCAGTCTTTTGTGAAGGGCACCCCCCCCCCCCGATGTGTTGCCCTGAACCTTGTGATGGTTAACGAGGGGAGTTAAATGCTGTCTGATAATAGCTGGCAGCCTGGTTGACTCCCATTGATGAACTGCTGGTTTTCCTTCCTCAACTCTCGCGATCTTTCTCATGCTATTAGCTCGTCGTTGTTTTTGTGTCCCCCCCCCCCTAAAAATTCACATTGATGATTTTGTTTTTGACCCTTTGCCCAGACCGGGTTGCCTGTCCTGCCTGCTCCAGCCTGGTCTTCACGGCTATGGTCAGATAGGCCCCACCCTTGGGGCAGTTGGGCAGGCTGGCACTATTCCTGGCTCTGCTTGACCGAGGACGGTGATTAAAAGCTGGGAGGTTTGCACCCCCCCTAAGCAGGCCTGGCTTCTCGCTCCCCGCCGACGCAAGGCTTGTGGAGATCTGCTGTTTCGACGGCTGTGAGCTCACAACCCTGGGTGGTTCTGTCACACTTGTGGAACGGCCGTGTCTGAGCAAGAGCAGAGCGAGCTCCTTTGCAGCTGAAGTCTGTGCTAAAAATCTGTGGCTTTTACTTCAGCAAGAAACCCGAAAGTGAAGCCACATCCCCCTGCATTTCTGATACTGTGCACCAGGGGTGCTGTGCAAACCAAATTTGTGGGTAGGCACCATTTCAAAACCACCCACAGAACATAAAAAAAATACACATACTCGGATATTAATGTTCCTGAAACTTCATCTAACTATTATACATTCAGACATGTCCAGCTAACCTTGTTTACAGCAGCTGAGATGTGAGTCATGAATGTTATGATGTGATAACTTGATAATGTGTAGGGTCGATTGGTAGAAGACAGGAATGACGGGGGAGGGGATTGAGAGATGCGATCTGATGGAGGAAGCTCACTCATTGGCCGGATTACACTGACTGCAAGTTCACTGCAAGTTTAATGACATATTTGCAGACAATGTAGGCATGTTTTTGGTTGATTGAAAAATGAATTTTTGCATTGCGTTTTTGCAAAACATTGGGTAGGCACAGGCCTATCTAAATTGACAGACACAATGCAACTGCTGTCCACTCAGCTGCAGCGGAACCGTCATCAGGTCCTCGAAACCCAGTGACCCAACCCCGATGAAGGATCACCTGCCTATTGCCCCCTAGTGGCCCGTGAAGTGCGAAGCGGCAGCTTTCGAAATACTGACTGCTGTGCCTCTGTTTGAACAGGGACTGGATTGAGAGGAGGCTCGAGCACCGTTTGGGGGATCTGGGCAGGGAAGCAGGACACCTGCCCTCACTACGCCAGCAGTGAAAATGGCTCCTTACGGCCTCCTCCTGGATCGGAGCGGACACGCCAAGGACACGCGGTGACATGGTGATCATTCACGCAAAGACGCTGGAAAAGAAGAAGGCCGATGATGTAACGACTAGGGGTTCCCGTTTGGAGCTGGTAAGATGTTTACCAAAAAAAAACGGTGTTGCCATCTTCTAAAGCGGGTGTAGTTTGTATTTTTAATACCCGTACATGTTCAGACATGTTTTTAAATCTTCGTCGGGCCGCTTTGAAAGAGTATGACTAACATCTTTTGTTTGATGAATACCTAATTCAGTGTTACAGTGTTACAATTCACCTGAGGAGATGCAGATGAGTCACGTTCACTGATTATGACAATCTCGCCGTTAAATCCACTCGGTACTGTTCCTCGAGCCTCTTTGGCCGGAAGTGTGTGCTGAAATGATAGCTAGACCTGAAGGAGAAAAACGGGGAAAAAGACTTGAGCGTAGCGGATGAGGGTTTGAGGAGACTTGGCGATCGGCCCTAACCCGACCTGCTCGACTTTCCAGTGAACGGCGGCTAAGCAGGAAACCCTGAGCATTGTGGGAAATCAACAATGGGCTGAGACGTCGGTGGACGGCCCCGTGGGGTTATTTATAGCACGGCTGATGAAAGGGATGTTTTTTCTTTCTGCTGTGATTGCGCTGCCGTCCTGGTAATTGTTATCGTAAGGGCCTGCCTTTGTTATATTTTATCCGGCGGCCTGGTTTTCGAACGATCGGTCGGGGGTGTGCGTCTCGCTAACGAGGGAGTCGGTGGCGCGTGGGCGGGAGCCAGAGGTCATGGAAGGTCCCGGGGCGGCCTCATCACCCTTGGTATGACCTGGTCCTGCGGCAGGCTGGGGGAGAGAAGGGCACAGCGACCCTTGGAAAAGGTACAGAGAGCTGGCCCAGCCAGTGCCGCGTGCAAATTTGGGCCTATTGTCTTATGTCACGGTTCTGTGCAGGTTGGTGTGGAGAGAGAAGCCAGCACTTCCTGTTTGCTTGTGAGAAACGCGCAGCCAGGGTTACAGTCAGCCCCGCCCACAGGGGAGGGCTGGAGGGGAGGGGGGTTGGAAATGGGGCTCTTCTCCACCATTCTGAGCGGCTGTGCTTTTTGTCTGCAGTGTGGCCCTCCGACCATGAGCCAAGGGGCGGCGCTGTTCTCCCGTGGAGGCGGGGGTGAGTCCTCCTTCGTCCGCCTGCGCGTCGCACAGGGGGCCCCGCCGTAGGGGCCCCGCCAACCCTGTGGGTGAGGAAAGGGCCCCCGCAGGCCAGACCTGTCATCTCAGCGTCTGCGATCTGAGCAGACATGGAGGAACAGGACGGCCATTGTTTAGAGTCTGCCTGCCTCGCTTCGGAAACAGATTGCAGGCTGTGAACTCGGGTCATGAAACGTTCAATGGGGTCAGAGTTCAAATTATGGCATTTAAAAAGTGCTCAAGAATACATGCAATCTTTACTTGCTTACGTTAATTACTTTTTTACCTGGGGGATTAAGGGCTCGTTTTTAATTGCCCATTAGTCTTGGGAGGAGTGCAGACGTGTATTTTTAGGGCTGGGCTTGAATAAACTGCTGGTCGGCGGGAATAATGGTATTATTTAAGATTCCTGGATGGTTACAGTCCTCCATATTTAGATGAAAATCTAAGATGGCACACGGTATTATTTTATTGTTTAGCAGCAGGCTTGAGTGTTTTTTTCAGGATTTTGTCTTGGGCTTTGGGGGGGGTTCGCTTCTGCCCGGGGGTGGGGGGGTGGGCAGCTGGACAGTTAGCTGACCTGCAGCTTGGCAACTGTCCCCAGGCACAGAGTATCTGAACAATACCGATTCCCTGTTTTCCACGGATCCAAGGTCGCGCCCCGACTGAGCCCTGAGAGAAACTCCATCCTCCCCTCCACCGCAGCAGAGAGACGTGGTTCGAATCGGCCGGGGATTGATCACGCGCCAGATCTGTACCCCCGAGCACGGCTGCGCTCGCCTTCCGCGTTTTCTGCCTGCCTGCGCGTACCTTGGCTCGTATACGCGGCATTTGCCGCTGTGTAAAATTAGAAAAGGTGACTGTGACTAAAAAGGGAATCTGTCCCCCAAAGAATCCCATATTGCCCCCTGAAGAAAGGCACTTGAATAGTGCTTAACATTGTGGATCAGTACTATTCAGAGGTTGTAGGTTCTAGTTCTAGAGGTAGTAAAGACACGACCGGTCCCGTGTGCCACGCTGCCACCCTGTGCTGCTGGGGCAGGCAGCAGCCCCCCCCCCCCCCGTTGCTCACCAGATGTTGTGGACGACGTCAAGTGCAGCCTTGCAGCCCCCCCCCCCCTGAGGTGGCGGCCTGCCAGCGACCACAGTCTTCTATTTCTGTCTCCTCTTGTTCCTTTCCCCCGCTCTGCCTTGCTAATGCTTGTTTGGGGGGAAGCAGTCTGGCGTACTTAGCTGCCCCCCCCCCCCAGCAGCTGATCAGTTAGGTTTTAGTTGTATATCACAAAATCTCCATGCTAATCATACTTAGTGCTGCGTAAGCATGTGAATCGGCATGTAGGTGAATGAATATTACTGAAGGCCCCTGTTGTGGTGGGGGGCACAGCTGATGTATTAATATGGATTGCTAACTTAGTGCCAGCTGATGTTGATGTTGCTCATGTATCGATTAGTGCCCCCCCCTCCGTGACGGCGAATACTCTCCATGGTGTCCAAAGGGAAGCAGGCTTGCATGCTCTTCGAACTGGAAATCGATTCTTTATTTCATCACTGGGAGACTTTTGTTTGTTTGTCTTGGACGTCGGCGGGGAGCAGAGCAAATGCCCGTCAATATCTTTATTTTTCCTAGGTATCGCTTTTAAAGCAACATTCCTGTATGGTGATACTGGTATTTCGTAAGGACCCCCCAGGTCCGTCTGGGTACGCTTTCCTTTTCACCGTACCGCCCAAGTGATGAAACCACGTGTGCCGCGCTGGGAAACGAAACCCGAAAATCTTTATTTTTATTACTTTCGAAATCGAAAATGTAATGAGCAGGTTCCTCTTATGATGAAAACATAGGGCTGACACCCTGGTGTGTGTCGGGGTGTGTGCGGCGCTCATCTAGTAACCCTGGTGTGTGTCGGGGCGTCTGCGGTGCTCGTCTAGCTGCCCTGGTGTGTGCCGGGGCGTGTGCGGTGCTCGTCTAGCTGCCCTGGTGTGTCGGGGCGTGTGCGGTGCTCGTCTAGCTGCCCTGGTGTGTGTCGGGGTGTGTGCGGTGCTCGTCTAGCTGCCCTGGTGTGTGTCGGGGTGTGTGCGGTGCTCGTCTAGCTGCCCTGGTGTGTGTCGGTGTGTGCGGCGCTCGTCTAGCTGCCCTGGTGTGTCGGGGTGTGTGTGGTGCTCGTCTAGCTGCCCTGGTGTGTGCGGCGCTCGTCTAGCTGCCCTGACCTTTCTCTCTGTGCTTTACAGGCACGGGCATGTGGGGAGACATCAGCCGCTGCCTCACCATCCAACAGGGGGCGCCAGGCGCTGGTCTGGAAAGCCTTTGGGATGCGGGCCCTGCCGGCGGCCTCACCAGCCTGATTCATGACTTGAAGCTGAGCGAAGGCAAGGCGTCCCCCTACCCGTCAGCGGCGGTGCCGACGGCGCCCCCTAGCAAGCGTCAGTGCCGTTCTCTGTCCTGCTCAGACGAGCCGCCTAGCAGCCGGAGCGCGTGGAAGCCCCAGGGCTCGCGGGTGTGGACCACGGTGGAGAAGCGCCGTTGCCACAGCGGGGGCAGCGTGCAGCGCGGTCCCTCGCAGCCAGGGGGCGCATTCCCCGCCATGCAACGTAGCTCCAGTTTCAGCCTGCCCACCCGTGCCAACGGCCTCCCCGAACTGCCCTGCTTCAGCTTCACCGGCATGCCCTCACCCTCACTGGCGGAGCCCCCGCACGTCCTCTATCTCTCTCAGGAACGAGTCAGCCCCCCCGGAGGGCAGGAGGCCTCCCCCGCCACCTCCCCGGACTCCACGCCAGAGCTGGGCCGGCGGATGGGCGCGGGCGGGCTGGCGAGGAGCCACTCGCAGCCCTGCGTGCTCAATGAGCGCAAGATCGGCATGAAACGCAGGAGGCCTGAGGAGGTGCAGGAGCAGAGGCCGTCCCTGGACTTGGCCAAGATGACCCAGGTCAGTGGGCCACAAGGGCAGCGGGGGGGTGGCACACTCTGCTTGTGATCAGAAGGTTGCTGGTTCAAATCCCAGGCTCGGCAGAGTGGGGCTCTCAACCCACAGTTGTTCCATGGACTGGCTGAACCTGCTTTTTCACAAAGCGTACATCGCGTTGGATAAAAGCATCCGCTAACTAAATGACGTCTATATGTTTAATACGACACAAACTTGAAGCTGTCAGCTTGCATTGTTGCATCTTGTAATCTATAACATGTGGAAGCAGACGGAATGATTGAAATTAGCCTCAAGACCAAAACCCCGTCTCGAAGTTGAAACCCCAGATTACTTGTTGAATCTGAAAGCTTGAAGCACCAAAACGCTGCAGAATTCCCCTGATTATGGCTGATTTGACTCGGAGGGCTGAACAGCCCTTCGCGGTCTGAGCGTCTGCTGAGAGGGAGGAAGAACGTGACCCTCAGAGCTCCATGCGCGTGGTAAACAGGGGCGACCTCATCACAGTGGGGGGGGGGGGGGGTGTTATACTCACATCATTTTCATAGAAAAGAGACCCAGAGGCCGTAATCCAGACAGGAAACAGATGGCCATGGGCAGAGCTGGAAAGTTCAGGTACAAAAAGTACAAATCCGAACCTAAATTTTCTTTCAACCAACCAGTTGAGTATAAAGAGTCACAGTCACAGAGTACTCAGCTGGTTGGTTGAAACAAAACCTTGGCCTGGATTTG